TTTATTGATGCTTGCCTTGTGACCTAAAATGTGAACTATTCTCCAGAACATTCCATGCACATTGGAGAAGAAAGTATACTGTATTTGGAGGGGGGGGGGATGCATTAGCCTATCAATATCTATGAGATTGAGTTCGTTTATTGTGGGTTTAATTCTTCAGCATCTTTATTGCATTTTTAAATATTTTTTAATTTTCATTTTAATGCAGGTTTACAGAAAACTTGGACTTCGATTAATTCATTGTTGCACATTTTACTCCTTACTCCACCCATCTCCTCCAGTTCGCTTTTCTCTTTAAAAAATTCATTCATTGTTGCAGTCCTTTGATTTCTTGACTGCTGGTATTAAGGTATTAATTGTGGATCCAAGTAAGATGAAATTGTTGACAACTTCTATCTTTTCTCCAACTATCATGTTGCCTGTTGGTCTGATGATAAGAATTTTTGTTAATTTCATGTTGACATGTAATCCATATTGAAGGCTGTAGTCTTTGATGTTCTGTAAGTGCTTCAAGTCTTTCTCATTTTCAACAAGCAAGGTTGTGTCATCTGCTTAATGCAGATTGTTGAGTCTTCCTCCAATCCTAATGCTACATTTTTCATAAAGTCCGGTTTCTCACATGTTTTGTTCAGATCACAGATTGATAGATATGGAGAATGGATGCAACCCTGACACCTGCCTTTCTTGATTTTAAACTATGCGATGTTCCCTTGCTTTGTTTGGACAACAGGGTTCTGAGATTCCAGTACTTCTTATTGTTAGCCATGAATAGTTGTGATCCTCATCGTCAAATGCCTTTGCATAGTCGATAAAACAAATGTATATCCTACTATTCTCTTCTTTCAGCCAAGATCTATCTGACATCAGCAGTGATATCCCTGATATTGTGGCCTCTTCTAAGTTCAGCTTGAATTTCTGAAAGTGTTATGTCAATGTACTGTTTTAGTCATTTTCTTTAATAATCTTCAGCAAGATCTTGCTTACATTTGATATTAATGATAATATATGATGATTTCCAAATTTTGTTGGATGTTTCTTTGAAAATGGGAATATGAGTCTCTTCCAGTTAGTTGGACAAGTAGCTGCCTTCCAGATTTCTTGGCATAGCCTGGTAAGTAGGTCCAAGGTTGCATCTGTTGGAATGTATCAGTTGATATTCCATCAATTTCTGGAGCCTTACTTCTTATCAATGCCTTCAGTGCAGCTTGAACATCTTCCCTCATTACCTTTGGTTCTTGACCTTACACTACTTCCTGAAATGGTTCTATGTCAGCCAGTTCTTTTTTGGTACGATGACTGTATTCCTTTCATCTTTTTGGATGCTTTCTTGATCACCCAGGGTTTTATATCATATACAATCTATACAGTCCTTCAGTATTAGAACTTGAGGCTTGAATTTGTTCTTCAGTTCTTTCACCTTATTAAATGCCAAGCAAGTTCTTCCCTTTTTATTTTCTAACTCCAGCTCTTTGCATATTTTGTTATAATACTTTAATTTGTCTTCTCAAGCTGCTTTTTGAAATCTTCTGTTCATCTCTTTTACTTTAACATTTCTTCCCTTTGTATTCGCGTCCATATTAGTAGCATGCACATTGTTGCTTTTGTAGGTGATGTTGAGTTGAGAGTGACTCAGAGTGACCTTGTGAACAGCAGATCTGAACCCTCTCCTATTTTATGCTATCTTCACAATCTCTGACAGACGTGAGCCCTTGTTGCAGTCACTTTGTCCACCTGGTTGAAGGTCTTCTCTTTTGCTGTCGCACCACTTTCCCAAGCATGATGTCCCTCTCCAATGAATAGTCTCTCCTAGAAACGTGCCCAGAGTATGTGAAACAAAGTTTTATCACCTTTGCCTCCAAGAAGCACTCTGGCTTCACCTTCTCCAAGACATACTTGTTTGTTCTTTTGTTGGTCCATGGGCTATTCAGTGCTCTTCTCCAACACCACAACTCAGAGGCATCAATTTTTCTTCCATTCTTCAGTGAATAAGGATAACAAAAGCATAACTGATACATGCACATTGTTGTTGTTGTACCATAGAGTTGGAAAAGACTCATAGCTGACCCTCTCTCTGGCAGGTTTCAGAGGCAGTTAATCACATGGGAGGAGATTACTCATCCTTCTCCCACAGAGTAGCTGGTGGCCTTGAACTGCATGCCTTTGGGGTTATAGTGCATCTTCTTGCCACTAGGACGCCAGAACATGTACCTTAGTCAATTGAAAATACCATATCTTGAGTCAGACACATCTTAGTCTTAAATAACATCTTTGCTTTTGAACACACTGAAGAAGTCTTTTACACCATATTTGCCTGCTACATTTCGTTTAATGTCTTGACTACTGCTTCTGTGAGAGTTGATTGTGGGTGCATGAAAATTAAATCATTGACAGTTTCATTGTGTTCTCCATTTGTCATGATATTTCTTAGTAGTTCATTTGTGAGGATTTCCATTTTCTTTTGTTGCGGTATAATCCATACTAAATTCTGTAGCCATTAATTTTTATCAATAAATGCTTCAAGTCTTTGCTTTCAGCAGGCAAGGTTATAGCATCTGCATGTGTGTGGCTAATGAGCCTTCCTCTAATCTTGATGCCCCATTCTTCAAGTATATCTGCTTAGATTATTTGCCCAACATATAGATTGGATCAATATGGAGAAAGGATATGACTCTGATAGCCACTTTTCAGCATTTTAAACCACGCAGTACCCCTTTACTCTTTGTGTAACTTCTTTTTGGTCGATGCACAGGTTCAACATGAGTGTAATTAAACTGTTCTGGAGTCCCTATTCTTCTCAAAGTTATCCGTAATGTGCCTTTGCATAGTCAAAAAACACGTGTAAGCATCTTTCCGAGAGTCTCTACTTTCAGCCAAGACCCATCTGACATCAGCAGTGGTACCTTGGTTCCATATTGTGTTCTGAATCTGGTTTCAATTTCTGACAGTTCCCTCCTGACCTACTTTTGCAACTGATTTTGCATAATCTTCAAAACTTTACTTGCATGTGACATTAATGATAGTGTTCATTAAATTCCACATTCCATGTTGGATTTTTTTTTTTTTAAACAGGGACATCAATACAGGTGTGTGTTTTTTTTTCCTTCCAAATTTCTCTGTCTAGGTACTTGAGCACTTCCTCTGTTCTGAGCTTTTGTTAAAACGTCTCAGTTCGTAATTCATTTGGTTTCTGGAGCCATATTTTTTACAGTGTCTTCATTGGACTTTGAGCTTCTTTAAATATCATTAACTCTTTGTCATTTATCCTCCAGATATGGTTGAGCATTGACCAGTTCTTTTCAGAATAATAACTCTGTAATTCATCTTCTTTTGAAACTTTTCTGCATCATTCATATTTTACCCTTAATATTTGTCCTTGAGGCTTAAATTTTTCTTCCTTTTTTTTCAGCCACTTGTTTTCTTCCCTTTTGGTTTTATAGGTATTGATCTTTGGACATTTCATTTTAATACATTGTCTTCTGAGGAGGCCCTTTGAAATACTCTATTACGTTCTCCTACACCTTCATTTCTTCTATTTGCTTTACACACTCTGTTTTCAAGAACAAGTATCAGAATCTCTAATACCATTTAATCCTTTCTTTTTTCCCTGTGATTTTAATGACCGTTTTCTTTATTCATATTTATTGTCCTTTATGGCATCTCACAATTTATATTATCTTTCACTGTCATATTGGTGGTCAATGTGTCTTACCTATTTTGAAATGGTCTCTAAATTCAGGTGTGATATAATCAGGGTTAGTTGTACTTTGGTTGATGTTGTTTTAATATTCTTGCCTTTTAAAAAATGATCTCTAAATTCAGGTGTAATATATTCAGGGTTATACTTTGGTTTTCATGCTCTTGTTTTCATTTTCTTACCTTTCAACTTGAACTTTCAAATGAGTATGGCAATCGGTCCCTGACCTTGCTCTGACTGACTTTACTGAGCTTCTGAGCTTCCCTAGTACCTCTTTCCACCAAGGTAGTAGATTTTATTTTAGTGAATGAAATCCACAGTACAAATGCCATTTATGTTGAAAAAAATAGTTTCTATGAATAAGTTATTAGTCTTGCAAAATTCTGTCATGTCTCCAAGTACTGATCATTTGTTTCCAACTTTCACATGGCATATTCTATTTTTATGGTAAGATAAAAATGTCATTAATGACTTGAAGGCACATAATATAATGTAGCTCATTCACTAAGCTAATTCTACTCTTTCTAATATTCTTGTGTTTAAATATTAACAACTTAAGTGGATACTGAAGGGAGCTTAAAAACATTAATATCAACATATGCTTAAAACATAGAGCAACCAAAAGAAGAGGAAAAATACAGCATTTGGCTCTTTCTACTAAAATAATGAATCCAATGAGTTTGTCAGCTTTACTTATGTAGGTGACAAACTCTACAAAACTATTTCTAGTAGTGTTTTACAACATTCTTGGTTATTGATTAATTAAATTAATCAGAAGTTTTTGGAATTTTTTAATATTGATGTAGAGAGAGGCAGTAGACCAATTAGTAGGGTAGCTCTGTTTTGTGAAACTATTCCCTAAATTGGATCTGTCTTCTTATTCTTTGAGTCTCAAGACATTCTACTCTTCTTCAAGATTACAGTTGCAGAGTTACCATATCGTTTCTTGAACTTGCAAGAGAGGAGGGTAGTTTATTTCATGTTTGTTTAACAGCTTTATTGAGATGAAATTAATAAATTATACTATTGACAACGTAAAATTCATGGCATTATGTAGCTATCACCCCAGTCAGTTGTAGAGGGCTTTGAATTCCTTTTAACCATGAGAGAACTACAGTCATTTCCACTCATTCCATTCCTGAGAATTTGGCCTTACATCACATCAAGTTGCTAGAGAGAGTGAGGAATGCAGCCTTCAGCTGTAGTGTCATGTGCCCAGCTTTAAATCTTACTAAAGGGAAAATAGATTTGGGAAGAGATACCTGCTTGCCTGTCACAAGTAACAAGTAATTCTTTCTTATAACAGATGTGACAACACAGAAAAACTAAAAGCTCTTTTGCCAAGATTGGAGCAAGAGCTTAAGGACACAGTGAAGTTTAAAGATTTTTATCAGTTTACCTTTACCTTTGCTAAGAATCCTGGGCAGAAAGGTTTAGGTGAGTAAAATCCACATGTATAATGGGCACCGTTTGATGAAACATGATCAACATAAACTCAGTACTGCCAACTGTGTGTTATCTTTATTTTGGTTTCTTTTTCTCTCCACTGATGGTTGCTCTTCTCTCCACATCGACTAATTTATTCTAGTACCTATGCACTTGAAAACCTCAACTGATTGCCTCTCAACTTCTTCACTTTAATAACAGATTTAAAAATTTAAATTAGTTTTACAATTTCTCTGTGTCCTCTCATTGATATCTCCTTAGGTTAGAGAAGTAGCAGTTTATATTAATAATCTTATTTTCCTTTATATATGGTATTTATACTTAGCCAGATTTGAAATGTCCCAAATATTACTGTTAAGGTTAGCCAGATAACATTAATCTTTCCAGAAAACACTAGTCTTGATCTGATCTGGAGATTTAAAGTTTCTTTGAAGTCAGTTCTTAAGTTCTGTGAATTTATTATAACATTTGTTTCCCTAAATATTGTAGATTTAGAAAAGCTTTAGTTTAAATGTTTAGTTTGAGTGTTTAATTACCATATTTTGGTCTTGTGTGTTTATTTTGTACCTAAGTACTATATAGCTTATTCTGGTTTATATTTTTATAAACCAGAATATATTTGACCTATGTTTGGCTTACCTCAGTAACCTCTAATGAAGTGTAAGGGAGGGGGGAGGATTAAATGGTCATTTAAATAGGAATTAAATTTATATATTTGAAATTGTGTTTTAAAGAAGCTTTCTTGTAAATAAAAAGAGTATTTTTAAGACCAAAAATTAAGCAGGAAATCATAAAGAGATTTATGAAGTCGAGAGTAAAACAAAATTATGAAAAATACTAACAGTAATTTTAATATTGATTTCATCATGCATGTATATTGATGTTAGGCACAAGATATATTCGTTCTTCCCCTTCTTATCTGTCTAAAAGTATTTTCCTTTCATTCTTTTTATGAATGGATCAAATTCAAATACAGATTTGTTAGCATAAACTCTTTTTAATCTCTTACATTAGTGACAGGCAGTTTTCTTTCTTTAAACTCTGTTTCCTACTTGCTATGACAGGGATTATTTTCTTCTTCTCTTTGTATTTCCTGGTGTCCTAGATTATTTTTTTGTTTTTTTAATGTTGGTGAATTGACTGTGATGCGTCTGTTGTCAGAGTTCCCTTTTCCTTTAGGCTGGTCCATCATGTGAAACAGCTCTTTTTGCCCTGCATGCCACCTTACAGATCATGCATTTGACACCTCAGGAACTTAAAAACCCTCTACCAGGAGGATCACAGTAAGGAAATTACTTGAATGGATCCTAAAACTTCAGAAGGTGGAAGTATGGTCGATTCCTGTGGGAGAGCAGTTGGGAAAATGTGGATGTGGTTTTTTTCCTAATCAAGAAAAGCGGGTGAGCAAAATAGAGGCATGTAAACTGTATAACGGTACGCCAACTAGGATTTTCAAAAATTCAGAGTGTTTCGTGTTTTTGAGGGTCAAGGCAGAAAGAAAAAGATGTGGGTCCCTTCCCTCCTCCAAAGGAAGGGATGATTCTGATACATTTGTTTATGAAGAACATGGTTGTGTTCTTCTTTCTAGTGAAAAGATTTAAAAAGATGAGTGTTCATGGGCAGAACTGGGTAGACGAAATAGTCATCGGTAACAAAAATAAAAAGCAAAGCTGAGCTGGCTTGCTCATTTTCATTTGTGGTTTTCCAAAACAGATTCAGCTATTCTAATGCAGACACTGCTGATCTAGCTGTAGAATTTTTGTAGCTTACTAGTCACAGAGGTGTAAGGGTGTCACCTGGGAAGACTTTTGACAGTTGCTTATGAGAAAGAAAAACATGAAGAAAGCATTAGTGATAAATCTAAAGAAGACTCAAGCATTGGTAACAGAGCCCTTGTTAAATTTATGTTTTTCTGTAATTCTAATTGTTTTCCTAGAAAGTAAATAATTAGGATACATGAATGTTTTATTTTTGTGAAAGTTAAAATACTTAGTATACTTTAAAAAAATAAAACTATAATTCTTAAGGTGACAATGAGAGATAATATTAAAACAGAGCACGCATAACTCTAACATTCACATCTCTAATATCCTGGTCCTTCTGTGTTATCTCTGCCACTTAAGTGTCAAACAAAATGATGTTTTCCTTTGTTATTGGGAAAGAAAGATGAAACATGTATGTATTGTTGTTATTGTTATGTGCTGTCAAATCGCTTACGACTCATAGAGACCCTATGTACAACAGTCCTAAACCCTGCTCTATGCTGTGCCATCCTCACTGTCTCTGACACACCCATCCCGATTACCCCAGTTACTGAATCAGTCCATCTCATCAAGGGTCTTCCTCGCTTGCGTTGTCTCTCCACCCTCCCAAATGTGATATCCCTTTCCAAGGACTGGTCCCTCTTTGCCACATGCCCAAAGTCCCAAAGTATGTCAGACGAAGCTTCAGAATCCATGCCTCCAAGGAGTAGCCCAGTTTCACCCTCTCCAGGATGAACCTGTTTGTTCTCCTAGCAGTCCATGGTATATTCAATACTCATCTCCAGTACCACAGCTCAATGTGACAGCCTAGATGCTGTATTAGGAATTTCCATCCAATTTACAAGCCATTTTCTCCCTTTACTTTATAAGTATGGAACCTGGGACTGAAATGGAAGATGAGCTATCTCAGGCCTATGTCTAGGATATGGCAGCAGGATTTGAGCCTGGAAGCCCAGATTTGTCTGAGAATCTTTTCCTATCCTTTAATGTACTAGGCATGGAGGTTGGTGTGTCTGAGACAGTAGATTGGCTCAGAATAGGACAGTGTTCAGAGCTCTTATGGAGAGGGCCCCTATGAGTTGCACACTCAGCAGTACTTACCAACAATAACTCAACTATCCATCCAGTCATCCTGGTGTATATTATAATACCTCCCTACTGGAATACCTTCATGTAGGTCAGGGTTTACTAGAGATTGACAGATTGGAAGAACTAGTGTCTATATAATATTATTCAATATTGTTGCTTAAACACTTATCGCAAAATTTATTAATTAAAAGTTAAACTTGAGTCTTTTCTGGCATCATTAATTGCTGCTTCGTGCCTGACATAAACATCCTGAAGTCTTTTGTGTTTGTCTTGGTGCTGCTTCTATGGACTTTCTCCCTTTATACCTTTATAGCCTCTTCATCTGCCTGTTTATGTAGTACTCTGGTGTACATTTTTAAAATTTTGTCTCTGGGTCAGAAGCTATTTCCCCATTCTACTTATATCCTAACATTTGACCCTTTCTAGATCATGTTTCATTTTGCTTGTTTCATACTGCATATAATTGCAGAAAAAGAAGTTACCTTTTTTATTTAAATTCCTTAAGCATTCAATTATATTTCAGTACAGGTAGCTTTCATCTCAATTTTCAAATACCAGTTATGAACATAAAATACAGAGTGATTTCTCATGAAAGGAAGAGTGATAATGTTTTTTCATCTCATCATCCCAAGGTTTGGAGCCATTTAAAGTGATGTGTGCTGTGACTTTTTTACTACTATTAGGTTGACAGGAAAAGTATTATTGGTTTTCTCAGAAAGTTACATGGTGTTAAGGTACAGTCTGTGTCTACCAGATACTAAGGTTTGAATCTTGGCAATTTAATGATGTAATTTTGGTTAATATATTTAACCTCTTTAATAAATTTCTTCTTATGAAATAGCTCCTATATTAGCAACTACTTCCTAAAGTTGTTGTATTAGATTGACTAGTGTCTACTGGGATAGACTGAAGGTCAAATTGTGTTTCCTATGGATTTGATTTAATATTCCTTAGTTTCAGCTTGAACTTGCATATGAGTAGTTGGTGGTCTCTTCCACAGTCAGCACCTGGCCTGCTTTTCACAGCTGATATTGAGCTTCTCCAGCAATTCTTTACACAAATGTAATTGATCTGCTTCCTATGCATACCATCAGGTGAAATCCATGTGTATAGCCTTTATTTGTTTCTTATAAAATGTATTTGCAATGTATAAGTTGTTTATTGTGCAAAATTCCATCATTCTATCTCCAACTTCATTTCTTCACCAAGTCCATGTTTTCCAACTACTGATCCTTCTGCTTTGTTCCCAACTTTTGCATTCCAGTCACGCATTATTATTAGTGCATCCTGATTGAGTATTCGATCAATCTCTGACTGCAGAAGTTGATAGAAATCTTCTGTTTCCTCCTTTTTGGCTCTGGTTGTTGGTGCATATATTTGAATGACAGTGGTATTCACTGGACTTCCTTCTATGTGTATGGATAGCACCCTGTCACTCACAACATTATATTTCAAGGCAGATCTGTGTTTCATTGACTGTGTCGATCACAACAAACTGGCTGACTGAGAAGAATGGGAATCCCAGAACACTTGACTGTGCTTATGTGAAATCTATACTTGGACCAGGAGGCAGTCATCAGAACAGAGCAAGGAGACACTGAATGATTCAAAATTGGGAAGGATGTACACCAGGGATGTGTCCTATATCCATACCTTTTCAGTCTGTATGTATTCTCCAGGAGGCCGGGCTCTATGAAGAGAAATGTGGCATCAGGATTAGAGGAAGACTCATCAGCAATCTGTTATGCAGACGACACAACCTTGCTGAGGAGGACCTGAAGTGCTTGCTGCAGAAGGTCAAGGACTGCAGCCTTAAATATGTATTGAAGCTCAACATCAAGAAAAGAAGATTCTCACCACTGAGCTGATTGACAGAATCATGATAGATGGTGAAGAGATTGAGATTGTTCACAGCTTTAATTTGCTTGACTCCACAATTGAATCAGCCATCAGGAAATTAAAAGATGAATTGCACCGGGAATCTGCTGTCAGAGATGTCTCTAAAAGACTGAAGAGCAGTGATGTCAATCTGGAGACTAAGGTGCTTCTCATCCAGGCCATGGTCTTCCCAATTACTTGCTAAGCATCAGAAAGCTGGACAATGACTAGGTATGATAGAAGGAGAAATGATGCCTTTGA